TTGTGTAACGATCTTCAAAGATGATCTAGATCTTTGAAGATCGCTGCGATCAACGATCTTCAAAGATCTTCATGATATTTATTTTTTTTACCCCTTTAGTTTTTTTATTTTACTCTTTCAAAAAATATTAACATTTTTATTTATTTATATGCAAAAAGAAATAATATATTAATAAAATTGAAAAACATCTGGGCTTTTAATAAAGGGGTAAAAAAATAAATATCATGAAGATCTTTGAAGATCGTTACACAAAATTTTTAAAAAATAAAAGATCTTCAAATTTTACGATCTTCAAAGATCTTGCTCAAATTTTTGAGCTAGATCTCGCTCAAAAATTTTCAAAGAAGATCTTTTGTAAACATACAAAATAGAATTATTCCTAAGAAACTTTTTGTGCAAAGGCTCAAAAAATTCAAATTTCTATTTTGGGTCATTTAAGTGATTCTTTACATATAATTTTTTTATAATTCACATTAATTTAAAATTGTGTATTAGGAATAGTTATTAGTCCTAATAAATTTATGCTTGATATTTAAAAAAAACAATAATATTTCTTAAAAAATTTTTTACCCCCCCCCCCCCCCCCCAGACCAAATTCCTGCGTACGCGCCTGGCCAACGCCCATTAAAATTTTATTTTAAACTTAAATAAAATATACTATTAGCCTGCGAGATTTGGGTCGACTTGGCCCATGAAAGTCTTTGCTATGAATACGATATGCCTTATTTTGTGTTTCTCCCCGCGAAATCGCTATCTAGCTAACTATGAAATCATGGTTAAGGATAATAGTCCTTTTAGTACAAAAATTTAAGACTATATAATGTAATGGGTGTTCAAAATCTAAAAATATAAATAAATAAATTTTGAAGGAAAAAATAATAAGCTATTTAATGTAAAAATAATAAGCTATTTAATGTAAAAATAAATTAGTAATATAAATTTTCGCCATTTACAAAATTTTTTTTTTAAAAAAAATAATAGAAATGAATAAACTTGAATAAAAATTTATTTCTTTGGGTAATTTTTATAAAAAAACTAGGTTTCCCTATAACAACGATTTTAGTTATTTTTGTCAAAGAATATTGTAATACTACCTTTGGATTAACAAATACGAATTTATGAATCGAAAAATTGATTTTAAAAGGCTTATTGCAGAAAAATTACAAAAATATCAAAATGTGATTTAATGCTGCCAACAAGCATCTTATTGATAGAAATTCTAATAATTTTTTTTAGCTTTATAGAACAAATATTATTTAATAAATATAGTCTTAAAATATATTTTTTAATCAAATTTAAAAAGATTATTATTGTAATAATCATGTGATCTTTATTTAAAAATAATTTCATATATTTATCTTTGTGGACATTGTTTGCCGTTATAAGTTAACATAATGAAAAATTTATATATTAACTTTCTTTTTGTTAAATAATAATATATACTAAATTGATTTAATATAATTTATTTTCTTGTTGAAGTAATATTCAAATGTTTTTTTTATTAACTTTTACCGAAAAATATATATACTGATTTGTGATAAACATCATTATTTTATTATTAAATAAATATCTTCAATTATTGTCTACTATTACTTAAAATCCCTTACTTTAATTTTATCCGAAAAATAATATAGAAAATATTTTTACATTTTATTTATAAATAAATATTTTCAAAGCAAGATGGCGCTAATAGCATTTAAATGTAACGCATTTTATTTATCCATTACACCGATAAAAAGTGTTGGATAGTATACAAGTTTTATAAAATCTTTTAGAGTAGAGTGAAATTGATAATCCCAATTTTCTTTAACCCACTAGGGGAAAAGGAAAATTTTTTAAACAATTTGGTTTTAGATCGGATATAAGTTAAATAGTTTATTATTGCCTTGTTAATTGATATTAGAGACCTTTACAATTGATTAAATGTTTCCTCTCGATACTCCCTTAGCTGAGTGATTTTAATGGGTCCGTCTGATGTTTAGAACCTGCCATATCCTAAAAGTCAATTTTTCAAAGATTTAAAATTAAATAAACTTTTTATATATCAAATTTTCTGATATTTTTATTTATAAAATTGCAAATTTATATATTTATTTAAATTTATAAATATTTATACAGCTAACATTAAAAACAAATCATATTTTTATAAGTCTAAATTAAAAATATTAGATACACAATTTCTATACATTTATCAAATGAGTCAATTCTATTTAGTTGCTTATCCTTAGAAATTAATGTGGCATCTCTGATCTCATATTCAATTTATTTTACTAAATTTGATTTATGATAGTGCTAATAACAATAACGATTATTTTTCAGGCTAATAAAGAGCTATCATGCGGAATTTTAATAAGGAATCAAAAATACAAAATTAGATTTTCAAGGTTTAAGCCACTAGATTTAAAAATTTTTACACTTTCAGTATAAGAGAAATCGTTATTTTTAACCAAAATATCCCCAAAATAAAAGCATCTTTATTGGTGATTTCCATAATAATTACATCCTTAAAAAATAGAAATTTTATAATAAAAATTCACAACACTTATATCAAATCTAAATTGATCTGTTTTAATTGTTATCACTTTAACAAAATTTTTAGTAATTTTAACAAAATGAAATACTAGTTCTATCTTTGGTATCCAAATTAATTCGTTTTATAACACTCCTACAAGGTTTAAAAATTTTCCCAGCATTTAGTTCTTGATTACATTATGTTGATGAATAAAAACAAATTAAGTGATAGTAGAGTAGCCCATATGTTTTCTAATATATTAAGTTTCCTCCTGTGGCATTTCCGGATAAATTATAATATCTCAACAAATTCCTTCATCTACTCTTGTGCCATTGTTTTCTTTCCACGATATTGTATGAATTTTTTTGACTTGGAATTTTTAACGATTTATATTTCAAAAAGAATTGTCCAAAGATATTTTTAAAATTATAGGGTCGTGCTACTTGGCCAACGTGGGCGAAATTAATTATGTGACCCTTTAGAAACTTCTAATTTACTTAAACTTAAAGAAAAAAATAAATAATGATCTATATTCTGCAATTTTATAAACGGATTTCTGTAATTACAGCTTAGAATATGAATTTGGTAATATTTTATAATGCAATGTATATACTGAATTGATTTTGTAATAAGCATAAATTGTTTAATGTTTATATTTTTTACATTTATATATCCCTTCCATACGCATAAAAAAGAAAATTTAGTGCCCCCTATAATGCTTAAATTTGACAGCATAGTGGTGCTACCCCGCCCGCTCCCACATTCGTGTGAACCGACTCAGAAATTTTAAAATTTTTACTAAAATAAATTGTTAATATTTTGACCTGAGCTATTTTATTCCAAAATATTAAAAAAAAATTATTTGATTATTTCCGAACAAATAGATGCCGCATTATGGCAAAAAACAATAAAGAAAAAGAAATAATAAGTTAGAATTGAATTTTTAAACTCCGGAAAATAAAATTTTTAAAATCCATATAAAATAATTTTTAGAATACTTAGAATAGAGTTTTTAGAATCCTAGAATATAATCTGGAATCTTAGCATATAAACCACATAGAATTGATAACTTAGAAATTAGAATATAGGCCACATAGAATAGATTATCTAAATGGAGGCCATACAGAATTTATATAAGGTAGAATTTGCAAAAAATAGTAAATGGATATGAATATATTAGATGTAAAAGGATACATATTTATAAATGGATATTTATGATCCCTAAAATTGTTGAGTAACAGCTAATTGATACTACTACTACTACTACTTGTGATTTTAATTTGGCAAAGCCATAGCACTATTAATTTTTCAACGCTATATGAGAATTTAATGATTAACTTTTAACCATATACGGTTTAGAATATAGAACGTAAGATATATCTATATTAATACAATATCATTAGCTTTGCTCTGCGAATCAGTCTTACGAAATATTCGCCTAGCGATGCGGCATACAATAAGCACACTTTATCACAGCGACACTTTACCACTCAATCATTTGATAGCTCAACACTCTATCGCCGGCCCGCGGCCCATGATTTTATTGACTTATTTATTTTAATTTTTTTCTAATATTTTTTCAAATTAAACAAAATATTTAGATATAATTTATTTTATGCAGTTATTATAATCTTCAATATGTAGATAACATAATATATTCCATATAAATTAATACAAGTTCAATAAATGGAATATAATACTCTTTATGTGATCAATTTGTTTAGCCTCTGAATTGACAGATAATTATATATTAGTATTTAATTTTTTTTTTATATAAAATCAAACAATGACCTTAAGGTTAATTTTAATCGAAACCAAATATTACTACAAAAGGAAAGCTTAAGCAAAAAAAAAATCAAACTTGTTAATGAATATCATAACTTAAGCCATTCATACAGGTTAACCCTAGCCCATACCACATAATTTGGTAAAATCAATTTATCTTTATAGCTGCCTTATTCTGCTCCGCAGTCTTAAGTTGTCTGTTCGACTTTATCAAAGTGGCGCTTTGAATCTATATATCCTTGTTGAATATCATAACTTAAGCCATCCACGCAGGCTAACCCTAGCCCATATCACATAATTTGGTAAAATCAATTTATCCTTATAGCCGCCTTATTCTGCTCCGCAGTCTCAAGTTGTCTGTTAGACCGAAGTGGTCCTTGTTAAAGGCATCATTCCATTAGCCCATATATAGCTTAGACAGTGATTTTTTCAAAACAATTATAATTATTTTCTAGTTAATAATTGTTATAGATATATATAAGAGGAATTTCGATAATATTAAAAAAATAAAGGTTAAAATGCAAGAATTTATATTACTATGTTGAAAAAAGGTGATGCGAATTTTACTAAAAATTTATTCGAAATTTTTTTATTTGCGCTAAATGAAAAATAATAATATTATCATGTTGATTAAAAAATTTTACATGGACCAAAAATTAATTATAACAATACATTACAATTATATAATAATAATTTTGCCACTTGGAATGCATTGATTTTGCATCACATTTTTTAAATTTAAAAATCAATAAAATAATGTAAAATTCTATCAATCAAGAAATCATGGCGAATAAGCGACCTCTCTCGTTTGAATCATCGATTCGATTAATATATTTAACGATAACCTGTAGAAAAAAAGGGATATTAAATATAAAGTATATCATAATTTATTTTTTACAAAAAAATGAAGCTAACCTCAAAAGGTGCTTTGTGCATGATTAGAATATGAGCTATTAGCTTTGGAGATAACAAGGCTTTGGGTTTGATATATTGCGATATTAAGGTCTATAAAAATAAATGGTGAAATACTTATTAATAAAAAAAAATACAAAAATGGCAAAACTAAAAATAAAATAATTGTTAAAATTATTATATATTACCTTCAATTGAAATGTGTTATCAATCTCTTCCCAATCAGCCGCCTTCTCGCATAAAGCAAATAAAAGGGCGCAGGAATACAGTTGAGGACTGATCTTAATATGGAAATTGTAATTTTAAAAAAATATATAAGTGGTTATTATAAAAATAAATTTATTAAATAATAAAATAGTATTCCATAATCTCCTCTCTTATGGAAGGAAGAAAAAAAGAAAGAAAGAAAGACTCTTCTTTCTTTAAAATAATAACATAAAAAATGAAGCTTCACAAATTGAGCGTTTCAAACGCAAATAATGCATTTTAAATGGCATAGCAAATTGAAAAATTCCATTTTGTAATATTACATAAAATGGAAAAAAAAACTTACTTATATTTAAAATTAATGAAATATAAAGACAGATGATTGTAGTAATGAGAAGTATATATGTTTTGTTTTATTATTTTTGTACGCAAGGTCGTATTTGTATTCTTATTGTAACAATAATGTTGTTTATGTTGCAATATTATTATATTTTTAAAAAATAATTTTTTTTCTTTTCGGAAATTATATATATTTTTTAAAAGGAATGTCTACTAGAAATAAAAATAAATGAGTCTACTAGAAATAAAAGTAAAGGAGTCTACAAATAGTAGACTCTTTTATTTTTATTTCTAGTAGACATTCCTTTCCGAAAAGAAAAAAAATTATTTTTTTAAAAAATAATAATATTGCAACATAAACAACATTATTATTGTTACAATAAGAATACAAATACGACCTTGACGGCGTACAAAAATAATAAAATAAAACACATATACTTCTCATTATGACATGTCACCCACAAAAAAAACTGTTGTCTATTAATATTATTTTGAATGCATCCCATTTATTCCTGATAACAACAATTCTTCCAAGTCGTCCACTGTAAACTACGCTTCTCGTTGCTCACTCATTGTTTCCCTATTGTTCATATCACCAGTTGTACTTGGCCCCACACAAACATTCATTAAGGCATCGTTAGCAATCGCCAATATAGGTTGCACCGGTCGTTGCTCTGTAATTACTTCCTTTCGTCTGGTCATACTTGGATTGTCTTGATCATTTTCCTCAGTCGACACACATCCCATCATTTCCTTCCTGCGAATCGTATGCGAACTCCTCCACAAAGGGAACGGAATGTGATCCTGCCTGGCCAATCGAGATCGAGCTTTCCCCCGTTCTCTAGAACTGAAAGTTGTTACGGTGGGACATTGCCTCGAAATGTGTCCCACACCCCCACATCCATAGCACTCAATTAGCCCCGATTTTCTCCTGCTGACAATTCTTTTGGAGTCCTGAATTATATCTTTCCTTCGTTTTCCCCCATTCTATCTGCCAATGTTGCCCTTTGTTGCAATCTCCATTTATTATTCCATATCAATCCCACATCACTATTGGTCTTAACTAAGTTCATCTCCATAATCATATCATTCTTCGTTTTAATATACCAAGTTTCCATTGCAGGTTTCAATTAAAAAAAATTTTTTTTACAATTATTTCAAAACAGAACAAAAAAATTTTTTTATATCGGAAGGAAAAATATTGTAAGCAAGAACACAAAAAAAATTTTTTTTTAAATTAGGTTAACTACAAAATTTTTTTTTACATAATTTCTTTTTTTTTACATAAATAACAAATTTACAAAATACCAAATATTCCAAATTTTTTTTTATTATTACACTTCCTTTTCTACACACTCCCAATCCCATTTTATTTCCCTAAAACTTTCACAACACGAACTGTCTGAATTCACATATATTCTATTTTTTATTTATTTTTTACTATTTTCTAATGTTTAATTTATTATCTCCTCTTCAATTATATTCTCTTCTGGCCAATATTCACAATAATTTTCATAACTTACAATCGATATCGCAGCACCTGTATCCAATAGCATAGATATTTCTCTACTTCCTACAACTACTTCTACACGAGGACAGTTATCCTTCTCACTTTTGCCCTTTAATTTTAAAATAGGAATTCTATAATTTTTCATATTTTCACCATTTACCAAATTTATATTTCTTTTATCTACTAAATTTCTTTTAACTTCTACATCTCCACCGACCCGAAATTTCATTTCATTCTCTAATGTAATAACTTCCATTTTACTATTTTCGCTATCATTTAGTCACCTCTCCCGACATTCCATAGCCCGATGACCTTCCTTCCTGCACTTAAAACTCATACTTTCATCTTTACCTTCTTTCAAAATATCATTATTTTGTATCATTCTTACATCAGATGCCGGTGCTAAGTATTTCACTGCCGGAAATGCTTCCCCATTAATGGATAGAATTTGAAGAAATTCATGGGTTAACAACGAATATCGTGATTAAACATTTTAAAAAAGTATGGTCGAAGTTTGGTATTCCGAAAACTGTGGTATCGGGTGTTGGACCAGCTTTTATCGGTAAAAAATTCAAGATATTCTGTGAAAAACGGGTGTATATCATGTGTTAGCGCCACCGTATCATCCCAGTTTCAATGGACAGGAGGAACGGATGGTAGCGAGGGTTAAAGGATGGTTGAAGAAAACAAAAAGTGGTGCCTTAGCCTTGAATATAAACTGGGACACAATGCAACAGTAAGAATATATTAAAAATAAATGGGATTCTTAAAAATAAAAGGTAAAATTTTTTTTTTGAATATATTAAATGTTGTGTATTTTTATAATTTTGATATTATTAATTATATGAAGTTTAATATATTTTCTAACGTTTAGCAGTGTTAAAATATTTATAATAAAAGTTTTAATAAATTTGTGAGTAAAGAATAAATGTTTAATTCTAAAAGAAGTACAAAAACATATAATTATGTGGGAATGGTTCCACAGAGAAATAATTGTATTATAGGTATAGTAGTGATATGTTTATGGATAATTGGTATTATGTTGGAAAAAAATAAAAAGAGTTATAGAAAGAGATAGAATAAAAATCACGGAAGAAATTGAAATGAAAAATAATGAAATTGAAAAAGGAAAAAATGAAAGGGAATTAAAAAACGTTAATGAAAATGAAAGAATGACGGAAGAGATATTAAATTTAAAAGATGAAATATGGAAAATGTTAAATGAAAATATGATAGAAGGAATGAGGAAAAGTATCAATATTATTAGATCGGGAGAGGAACGAAAAGATATTAATAGTAAAAAAGAAATAGAGATTAAAGATGAACATGGAATGAGAGATGATAAACGAAATAATTATAGTCATGGAGAAAATTGTGAGAAGGTATGAAAGGGATTTCAAAAGAGAGGATCGAATGAATGATAAGGAATACGATCATTTTAAAGATATAATACGCCAATGAACTTGCAGAGAAATGAAAAGGAAAGTTGGGAAAAAGAAAATTTTTTCCGAAATAGAATTAATCGTCCAAAGATTAATATGTAAAATGTAAGATGTTATTCATGTGGGGCATTGGGGCATATAAGTAGAAATTGTATGCAGAACGGTGCAATGTTTAACAAGCAACCGATTAAATGTAATAGATATGGAGGAGTTGGACATAGTAGTGAAAAATGTTATGTCCCGACGTATCGTATTATTGGAAATAATCAAAGAACATTTCAATGTGAAAGATGTGGAAAAATGGGACATGCTAAAGAGAATTATTATGTAAGAGAACCGATAAATGGGGAAGAATTTCCGGCAGTGAAATACTTAGCACCGGCATCTAATGTAAGAATGATACAAAATAATGTATTTTGAAAGAAGGTAAAGATGAAAGTATGTGTATTAAGTGCAGGAAGGAAGGACATCGGGCTATAGAATGTCGGGCGGGAGAGGTGACTAAATGATAGCGAAAATGGTAAAATGGAAGTTATTACATTAGAGAATGAAATGAAATTTCGGGTCGGTGGAGATGTAGAAGTTAAAAGAAATTTAGTAGATAAAAGAAATATAAATTTGGTAAATGGTGAAAATATGGAAAAATATAGAATTCCTATTTTAAAATTAGAGGGCAAAAGTGAGAAGGATAACTGTCCTCGTGTAGAAGTAGTTGTAGGAAGTAGAGAAATATCTATGCTATTGGATACAGGTGCTGCAATATCGATTGTAAGTTATGAAAATTATTGTGAATATTGGCCAGAAGAGAATATAATTGAAAAGGAGAAAATAAATTAAACAGTAGAAAGTAGTAAAAAATAAATTAAAAAATAGAATATATGAGGAATCAGACAGTTGGTGTTGTGAAAGTTATAGGGAAATAAAATGGGATTGGGAGTGTGTAGAAAAGGAAGTGTAATAATAATAATTTTTTTTGGAATATTTGGTATTTTGTAAATTTGTTATTTATGTAAAAAAAAAGAAATTATGTAAAAATTTTTTTTGTAGTTAACCTAATTTAAAAAAAAAAATTTTTGTGTTCTTGCTTACAATATTTTTCCTTCCGATATAAAAATTTTTTTGTTCTGTTTTGAAACATAGAAACTTGGTATATTAAAACGAAGAATGATATGATTATGGAGATGAACTTAGTTAAGACCAATAGTGATATGGGATTGATATGGAATGATAAATGAAGATTGCAACAAAGGGCAACATTGGCAGATGGAATGGGGGAAAAAGAACGGAAAGATATAATTCAGGTCTCCAAAAGAATTGTCAGCAGGAGAAAATCGGGGCTAATTGAGTGCTATGGATGTGGGGGTGTGGGACCATTTCGAGGCATTGTCCCACCGTAACAACTTTCAGCTCTAGAGAACGGGGGGAAGCTCGATCTCGATTGACCAGGCAGGATCACATTCCGTTCCCTTTGTGGAGGAGTTCGCATACGATTTGCAGGAAGGAAATGATGGGATGTGTGTCGACTGAGGAAAATGATCAAGACAATCCAAGTATGACCAGACCAAAGGAAGTAATTACAGAGCAACGACCGGTCCAACCTATATTGGTGATTGCTAACGATGCCTTTGTGAATGTTTGTGTGGGGCCAAGTACAACTGGTGATACGAACAATAGGGAAACAATGAGTGAGCAACGAGAAGCGGAGTTTACAGTGGACGACTTGGAAGAATTGTTGTTAGAGCAGGAATAAATGGGATGCATTCAAAATAATACTAATAGACAACAGTTTTTTTTTGTGGGTGACATGTCTTAATGAGAAGTATATGTGTTTTTTTATATTATTTTTGTACGCCGTCAAGGTCGTATTTGTATTCTTATTGTAACAATAATGTTGTTTATTTTGAAATATTATTATTTTTTTAAAAAATAATTTTTTTTCTTTTCGGAAATTATATATTTTTTTTAAAAGGAATGTCTACTAGAAATAAAAATAAAAGAGTCTACTAGAAATAAAAGTAAAGGAGTCTACAAAAAGTAATATAATTTTCAATCTTTTTTAAAACTTAGGCATTATTTAAAGTAAACGCATTATCTTCAAGAGTTACTTTATCGCAGCGTTTTTACGAAATAAAGCGAAAGGTACAAATTTATAAATATGGAGCTATTATAAAATTTAAAAAACATACGTTGAGATGTGTTGATAATAAATATGAGATACGGTTATAAAAATAATAGTAAATTTTATAAAAAAATATTATGATTTTTCTTAATGTTATATAAAATTATTATCTCAATTTTAACTTTATCTTAAAAATTAGTTTTTAAAACATAGTCAGCTATAATATCGGTGCGTTAAATGCGTTATTTAAGATTTTTGAATCGAAGATATGAATAAAAATTCCACCTCAATTTAAACAAGGGATGCGTTACGTTTTTCTTATTAAAAAAGTAAGGCAAAAGCTCAAATTGTGAGCTCTATTACATGTTTTTATTTAAAAAAAAGAAGCAGAAAGCTAATAAAATCTATAAACATAATTAAAATTTTACATAAAAACCAAATTTTATGTTTTAAAAAAAATAAATGATAAAGTAAAAATATGCAGTAATATAATAGTTATTTTTTACAAATTGAGGCGTATTATTTTGCGTTCTATTTTATATAATTTATATAGTAACGGGCAAATTGGTAACGTTTTTTTTTCGTTAAGAAAAAGCAAAATAGTTTGTGTTTTTCATATTTTTAAAAAGAATTACTGCTTAAACAACACAACGTTTTTTTTATAGAAAACAATGCTAAACACCTCTGCTCAAATTATAAACTATATAATGTATAATGATAATTTACGGAGTATTCTTCGATTATCGAATTGGGATCTATAAGTGATGCCTATTGTGATAAAAATAATATTAAATTAAACATCAAAGAAAAGCAAGCTCCTTTATGCGCTATGAATAGATTATTTGATTCGAAAGTTCGTATCGAATAAGAATAATAGACTTATTCGTTTTTTGTAGGCCTAGTATATAGTGCCATTTTTCAATCTAGATGCCATGTAAACAAAAAGAGTTTTTGAAAAGAGACACAATTTTAAAAAAAAGAGCCATATTGTCACCTGAGTATTATAGTGCTCTACTCTATACCTATTTTTTTTTAAAAATTCAAATAAAAATATATTAATTGCATTTTAAAAAGAAAATCACAATGAAATAATGAAAACTCAATTATATTTTATCTATTGTGGATATATAATCCTATAGTTCGTTTTGTTAAAAAGGGATTCGGGTATTTTTTTAAAAACGACCTAGATTTTAGCCAAAATAATATTATGCAAGCCTCGAGATTTGGCAAATAGAGGCAAAAAACTTTTCTGCCAACTATGAGGAAAATCTCCAGGCTTATATAATATTATTTTGGCTAAAATTTTAATCGAGTCATTTTTAAAATCGCCCCGAATCGGGCCTTTTAACAACCCTTACTCAGCCGACGATAAATCAAATTCTTCCGAAAAAGAAAAGTTTTTAAAAACTCATTATATTTTTCCTAATACTTAAAAAATATATTTATAACATTGATAATGGAAACCTTATTAATTGACCCTATAAAAACTTATCAGTTAACTTTGGTTAAATTTTTTTTTAAGTAACAAGAATTAGAGGTTTGCAATGTCCGCCCCAGTTACGTCTGAATTTTTTTTATTTGGGCAGGGCAAAAAAATTAGAAGGCTGGATTAATGTTGAATTATGATGTTTTATAGAAATGATAGTCCATGTATAGTGTTTTAATTTAACCAATCCCCAATATAGTTGTTTATTTTGGTGTACAACTACATATATTTCGGGCTATGCCTTGTATTTAAACAGGTCTGGGAAACCTTATTAAAAAATTGGAAATAGGCCAGGCCACAAATTTGACCGAGCTGGACAAAAGCTAAATTCCAAACGGGGCAGGGCAGAACCTAAAACTTTTGCCATTTGCAGACCTCTAAAGAGAAAATATCAAATATTTTGATATACATAATACAAACCCAATCTTCTGCTCTCTGCGTTTCGTAATATTTTAGCCCATAAATTAAGGTATCGAATTCACCTGATGATTTAGATAAAACCATATTTCTGCAATTCTGACCTAAGGCAACAGTAGTAATAATAAATATGTATTATACTATAGGAAATATGGTATATTTTACAATAAAAAAAATAAATAATGCAGGATTCGAATAAGAGGAACAATATACCTAAATCATTACGTAACTGTCCGGTCATTTTACAAAGGACGTATCGTCTTTGCAAGCAACTGTTATAATGAAGCAGCTGCTTAAATATATTTTTATCCTCCAAAAGATCGGGGCTCAGATTGATTCTGCACTGAGTTACTCGAGTTATTAGCTTTTCGAGGGCCGGTAGAAAGTTGTCCGGATAACTAATATTGGCTTGATCCAGAGTTATGCCGATTTTTGGGGTGGCAGTATCTATGTCCATTAGATCTCGGTTCATTTCAGAAATGGCCAATGATAATTCCGTAAACAGTGCTTCCTTGTGGAGAGATAAGGATCTGCATCCAAACAAATTTTTGTCATGTTAATATGTAAATGGAGGAATTGTATAATCTAATTAGGTAATAATTAATAATAAAATTTCCACCTCATCCAAAATACAAAAAATGAAGGATTATCCTGGAATAAATAGAGTTCTGTTGGCGCTGGTTCCAGTTATTAAAATTAAAAATGGATTCAGGGAACTAGTTTTTAAAATTTGACGAAGTTCCGAGAGTTCAAAGTTCTGGCTCCAAACTCAGTTAGCAGTCAAATTTTTTATAAACAAAATAAACCCCTCAAGACTCTAAGATCATATCTTGAAAAATCAAGATTTTGGTAGTCATTATAAAGATATAGTTATAAATTATACAGGGCAGAGCAGTTTAAAATATAATACATGTTGTGATAATCAAATATAATTTATATTTTTGTTTTATTGACATTCAATTTATATAAGTAATTATAGAAGTATTGTTATTTTAAGAAAATTAGGAGAGTTTTGATATGTTATTCTTATGCAAATAATATATTAAGGATATTATATTATGCGCGAAATAATTTGGGAGATTTTGTACTCTTGTTTTTCATATTTTTTTGAGTTGTTTACCTTTTCATTTTATAATTTTTTGTATTCTTTTATACAGAGATCCAAACTAAAGGTGAATAGAACCTAACCCAGAACCTAATCCGATAAAAGATTTTCTAGCCGAACTTGAGCCGAACCGCTAAAATGCCTATGAACGGTTCTAACTTCAGAATTTTGTGCTTATAAAATAGTAAAGTTATTACAAGTATATATTTATAAAATTCTAATTTATAGTCGAATTGTTAAAAGATTATTATCACTCAATTTTGATTGATAAGTGTCAGCCATAATTTTCATAAACTTTAGTATATTATCATTTTAAAACATTCTTTAAATATTTTTAAGCTTATAACCCTGCCTTCACAGTTAGCGCGAATTCGCGGCGAAGTATACAAAATATGATATAAATATAATATTTCTACATTCATTTTTGTATCCTTTGCCGGGAATCCGTGCTAACTGTGAATGCTGGGTAATGTCTAGAGATAAATTGAATTCAATATATAAATTATTTACATATAATATTATAAATGATACATAAAATTTAAATTACTGATTGTGGCCCAACTATGCAGGGGCATCACTGAGAAAATCTTGAGCGTCACTAAAAGAGAAGACACCCTCAAGAACTCAATAAAATTAAAATATCACAATAACACATAAAATTTGAATGTAGTTTTGTATACATTCAAACAAGTTTTTAGAGGTTCGAACCGAACCGATATTTTTACTTTTTAACGAACCGAACCGGAAGCGAAATTCGTTTCACTCCGGATCCCAGCTTTTATATTTATTTTTAAAATATTTTTCTATTATATAAGTTTATGTTCCTACAAGAATAAGATATCATATAATTAGGGATTGCATATGCTCTGATATGATCTTAGATAAAAATAGATTACACAATATTTAAAACAATATTTTAAATAAATTACTTGCATTTTTGTTAGAAATAGTTCTTGAAAATGGTTTCCCATTCCTGTAAATTTTAAAAGAGGGGGTTTCCCAGGTTCCGGGTTTTAAATTTTTTCCAGTTCCGAGAGTTCCTAACTATGAGTATAATATCCATTAATTTTTTCAAACGTTTTAAATAGCCGCCATTTTTATAACGGTATATTATTTTACTTTAATCAAGAAAATAATATGTAAAAGCAAAAAACCTGTTTAAAAAATAACCTCAAGCATTCTATGGCAATCGTTTCATCTGTATCCTTTAAATATCTTACATACCTCTTCCTGGCGCGGGGCAATATAGCCAAAATATCGTAAAAAATAACGGGCGACAATGTATTCCGGACGAACAAAATAACTTTCAAAAGAGTGTTACCTTCGCCGCAGTTGATGGCGGCTTTCAGTAAGTGAATTTTTTCGGATTTGCATTTAAATTGCGTTAGCAATGTTTCGGGGAGAACGACCCTGGCCAATCTTTGATGACGAAAATCAAAAATGTTTTGATGCCGCGAATATTCCGTGTAAATTAGATCGTCGATTATTTTTTGGAAAAGTGGGTCGGATTGAGTATTTGAATAGGGTTCATCCGTGGGATTAGAGGAGTGAGTATGTTGGGTCGTGGTGGGACCGGCTAACTTGTATTTGAAAAATATGATCGAGATTAAAAGAGGGTTAAAAATAATTTAGGAATACGGATCTCAACAATAAATATTTTGATAACCTAAAAAAACTAGTACTAAAAAAAGCAATTTGCTTAAATTTAACCGAAAATCGTCGCGAAGAAAATATAGCATCTCTCAACTTCTTGGGTTGGCTAAAGGGCGCTACCGTATGAATTGACGGCTTTTTGAAAGCGTTTGATATAAGAGGCGAACTTTTAAGGTGCGGCGAGTAAGTAAAAATATCTGTAGCGATTTGTGAAGGTAGTTTAGAAGCCACCAAGGGGCTAGAGGAAGAGGAAGATGATTGCCATGTGTGAAATGTTTTTAGTAGTTCGTGAGTTTTGGGTGATGATAAGTCTAAAAATTTTTTATTTAAATGAAAGACTTCGCTAAAAATGTAAAACAACGTTTTTCGATTTATTGGTTGTAAAAATTTATATATTTTTCATTGAATTTTTAAAAAAAATTAAATACATTTAATTGTTTTTCTTTGGTCCTGTTCTTGTTAGATTCTTATAAAATTACATAATTATTAAATTTTAATATCGATAAATGTGATAATACCTAATACTAATTTTGTTTTATTTATGACATTCTTTACTAAAATCCTTATATAGAGAAATTTATTAAAAATAGTTTGACTTACAGAAATTCTATTTTATAATTAATTTTTAACTAAAAAAAATATTAAAATATCAAAACTTAACATAAATATATCCTATGATATAAAAGTTATTCTTATGTCTAGCGTTATTATTATTTTTCTTTCACTTAAACCTTGTTTAGGGTTATTTTTCTCAAAATACAGTCAAGAAATAAGCGAATCATAATAAATATGTGTAATTTCATTTTTTTTAAAAAAAACGAATAATTTATATTAAATTGTCTCAACTTGCTTTACTATGCTGTATTAAAAAAAACAAATAGGCGAAGGGTAAACATTTAGGACAAATAAATTAATTTAATTAATATAGTTAGAGGAGAGCAAAGTGCTTTAGAAACGTATTTTGTTAAGCGCAAATAGCTCCTATAAAAAGAAGTATTTTGCAAATAGTTCTAGGTTACATTTTAAGTTCACATAATGCAATATGTTATACGACTATTAGTATAGCCATAGGCTTAACCAAGATTCTCTTAAGAATGGTTGGATGTTCCTCCATTATAGCTTTACATTTTTTTTATTTAAAATTGTTCTGAAAATTTTTAGGATCATTTTCAAATTTATACCTATGCTAGAAGCTTAAATTTACATAATACTCATTTAAAAAAAAATATGTAATTGAAATATGACCGATATAAGTAAATAAATGATTTAACAATATAAATGAATATAAGGCATATTGGTTCAATTTATAATTCCTGAGGGTTGAGCTCTATTTCATACTATGTGTTTATACACCATCCGATCATTTGTATCCACTAGTGAATAGGGAGCACCTCTCGATTTTATTCTGCCTTTTCGTCACCCTGCAGTTTCATAGCACACAGAGGTATTAAACATCTTAATCTCTCATCTAAGCGTTTTATTCATGCAGCTGGGTCAGAAAAGAAAATGATGTGGCCAATGCCTTGTCACGATGCAAGCTAATAAAGGGGAGTGTACATACCATATTCGTGGCCATGGACGACATTAAGGAAAATCAAAGAGGGATAGTGTGCTAAACGGTAAATCAGCATTTCTGCAAAGTGGAGAAGGTTTACAAGAGTGGAGACACTGATCTAATACTATAACTGAAAGAACACACTGTCAATTGAGAAAAATAATATTGAGTGGAACAGGAGAGTAGTGATTTTGATTCCTGAGATGGATAGCAGTTCTTAACAATTAAAATGGACATTCGGGAATAATGACCAAATATATTTTGACTCTTGTACTAATGGCCAAAATGTGATAATAAAATAGAGAAACGTTTGATTTTAAAATCAGTAAAATAGAAACTAACCCATATTGGGCTAGGCAAGATCCATGCCATGGAATGATCGAATGCAAGATGGAATAGCCTGAGCTCTGATATGGGAAAATATAATAAATCTCATATCTTATTATAAACATTATAATTGAGTATTATTTAGAAATAAATTAAATTTGATAAAATTCTAGCTTTTAATTAAATTAGATGGTTGATGATTGATAAAAAAAAGTAAGTCATTAACTAAAATTTTTGTCATTTATTTGATGCAGACTAGGTGATTTACTGTCTCTTAGTGTTCTAAAATTGAATGGCTAGCATGAGCCAAAAAACAAGCAGTCTTTATTTAAAGTAATTTGATTCTTTTTGATACTCTTCAAGGTTGAGACATTCGTCTCAAGGCTAGTGTTATATTTTTAGCTATTGGTCAATTATTTTGAAGATGGTCAAGGACTATATTAAATGGCAAATTTTGCCATAATGTCTCTTTTTATAACTAAGAAATTTTATAGTTGCATAGAAATCCCTCATCTCAATTTATATTATGAATGAGAATATTAATGGCTAAAAACACTTAGTTGAACACTAGGAATTTCTGATATTTCTCATCAAGATTATTTAATGAAGCATTTAAATAAATCTTTTGTTTTTAAAATGTGTTGAACCATTTGGCTCAACCCAATCACTAGTCCTTACCATATAATAAGTAACATCACTAGTGGGGTGGCACACAGGGGGCTCAAGTCTCCTGAAGAATTTGAAGAGACCCACAATGAATCTTAAATTTTTTTTAAAAATACCTTAAAAAGGGGAAAAAATTAGAAACTAAAAAAAATATTTTTTGAGCCCCCCAAGACTGTAAAGGCTAATGACAGCAATGGTGATAATCAAGAATTTAACCATCTGCTGAGTGTAATAAAGGTCCATATCGATTTTAAACAAATTTTAATGTTAAATAGTAAGTCAAATATAAACTAAGGTTATTTTAAAATTATCGGAATTGGTTTTGGAACAAAGGTTAAAGTTGGAAATTTAAAAAGAAAAAATTGACTTTGCTAATTTGAATTATAACTCAAAAGCAATATTTTGAAATATTTAAAATTATTTACTGGAAATTCAATTAGAAATAAAAAAACTTAATTACAAACTTTATTAAAATTAACAAATAATTTCATAAATTTATTAATTACCATTATCTTTATTTATCTTTTTATTTTGCAATGACAAACAACTTAATTGTGCTGTTCCGAAATTGCTTTCTTCCTATAAAAATAAAATCATATATATTTTAGAATTAAAGATGAGAAACTTCATCATCACAAAAGATACTAGAACTGATGTTCGATGAACCCCAATAATCATCATTTTCAGAATCAAAATCCATATGTTTTTAAGGATGGATGTATCATTTACTAAGCAATACCCGATATACATCATATCTACTAGACAAGCACTAGCAGAAGCCAGACCTTAGATCTAACCGCATATTTCTCATAATCTAATATAAATTGAAATCCTAAACTTTATCTTTCTACCCTAACTCATAGCTAATGGTTGACGAGCGTTTTGCAAAATAACAGCCAAATAAGGCTCTAGAAAAACCCAGCTGATATGTGCCTATCGTGAAGTTTTTCACTAAGATGACAATAAACATAATAAAAATAAATATTATGAACACAATAAAATCTAATAAAGCCTGTCTACATTTATATAAAATACAATAATGATTTATATATATCACAAAATATTTATTATTAAAACCCTAAAATGCTTAATCATTAAATTTCCCAATATACAAGCATACATTCTTGGATTAGCCTTTTAACTACCTTGATCTTTTGGACAACGTCATCGTATTATTACGTACTCTTTATATCTGGCAACTTAGATTGATCGTTGTTTCATCTGTAATTTAAATAGCATCTCCCGTGGTTATCGCTCTGTTGATTTTAATATTATTTTACCTGAGTGGAAGCAATTCATTTTTCTGGGGTCTTTCCATCACATAGTTGATAGGTATGCTTCTTTATTATTTTTGGTCCCATTATCCATCTCATAAGACAATAGAGTTTTTATTATTTTTTCCGGTCCTAAATAATATTATTTAATTCACAATAATCCGCTTAAAATTCTCATGGCTTAAGTTTTTTAATTCTCCCGGTGTTGAATTGTTAATCACATTTTTTTCTTGCATTCGGTCTTATCAAAGTGTTTTAAAAGTTTGAGCCCAATATTAGTCTTGCAAGTGACGTCTAACCGAACTTTGAGCTCCCATTCGATTAGATTTTAAAATAACATATAAAATATTCCTGAATAATTGGAAAATAATTTACTAGTTTACTCAATCAAACCATTATTTAGAGTAAGGTTTTGCTGGATCAGCTAAATATTCCCTTTTCAAGAATGGTCCTTAATTCTTATGAATTGTGGACCCTTATCTGACATCATCGGAAGTTGTGCGCCGTATTAATACTATACCTTCGTGAATTTTAATAACTCTACTTCTACACATTCGGAGTAAGTATTCACATCCATTTTAACCAATAAAACAAATTACTGCGTATCAAAATCAATATGGTTTCCTTCCCATGGTCTATAAGGAATATTCTATGAACAATAAGACACTTTCGGTACGTTTCTCCATGTTAGCTGGCGCCCCAGGCATTCTTTCATGTAATATTATATAACATTATCGCAATTCTGCTAACAACAATAAAAGCGAAAGGTTGATTTCATCGCATCTATCCCCGAGTGATCCCTTCGGTGTTAAGATATATTTCCTCAATAAATTAGAAATAATCATGTCCACACCCTACTCAATAGTACCACTGTCAACCGATAATTTATATCTTCTTATAAACTGCAATTGTTGTTAATGTGCTAACCCTTTCAAAAATGTTCAATTTAACCTTATTTAACAGGAACTTTTGAGCGTCTCTACTTTAATCTATTTTCGATCACATTGATATATTTCAGTCTTTTAAAGCAAATGACCGTCTCACGTTCTACCTCTCAATTAGAATCTAAAATTTTTCAATACCGCAATAATGCATTTACCACTACAATTTTATTCCCTAGCTGACATACAATTTTAAAATCATAAGTTGACATTTTTCATGACCATTTCACAGACATTAAATATTAAGCGTTAACTAATAAATTAAATTAAACCCGAATATAATAACTAACTTTGTCATACCGTTGACTTAATTAAAATAAAAAAAATTGTTAATAATATTCTGTCCAAATATTAGTTATTTATTATTTAAAATGTGTATATTAATCATATTGAATATTCCCCCTTCACATTACTGAATGTAAACAAAATTATATAACTAAGAGATCATTAGCAAAATATATTTTATTGATAAAAAAAAATCTATAATATAATATATAATACATTTACATAAAATAAAATTTTTATTTTATAAATCCAGGCCAAAATTTTTTTTTAAAAACACCTGAGCCGGGTCTTTAAATATAAAACTCTAGCCGGGCCATAAAATGAAAGAATTAAATAAACCGATTCGGGGTTGATATAAGTTTTTTACAAACTCGAGCCAGGCTGGGTAATTGGTACTACAGTCTCTGGTAAATACTAACTGATGGCCTATGTTTTTTTCTAGCTTGCGAGTCAATAAATTCACTTCGCATATTTGCTACTCCATCAAACGCTCTTCCAAATATTACAAAAATAATTTATGTATATATGTGTGCTTTTCCGCCTAGCCGGCTGCCAGAATTTTTAAAGAAACAATCAAATTTTTTTCATGACAAATAGGATCGCTATAAATTTTTAGTTACTTTTGAAAAGGTGAAATATAAACCCCTTAATTGAAAATTATTTCACTTAAAGAAAATATATAATAGAAAACATATAAAAATTATCCAATTGTTAATATTTTATTATGTTTTGTGAAAATATATAATAAAAAAATAATATACGCCTTCTGAATTAATTATAAAACATATTAAACTAATAGAAGAGTACGATGATATTCTATTGATAAATATAGATATGATCGGAGAATAATTCCAGGGAAAAAAACTCTTCAATTTTCGGAGAAGGGGAAGGGAGATCTTCTGAGATTCAAAGAGAAGTTATCATATATAAATTATCTAACAAGATTAGCATGCATTACGATAACCACAAATTATGATTACAATTTGAACAAATTGAAACAAGAATATTATAGTCATCCGCATAATATGGATCTTCTAAATTTTTGGAAGAGGGAAGAGGATTATAATTTTTCTCTCCACTCAAATCAAATTCTCTGTCCCCTTAACTAGCTCATCTTGTGGAAGGATTTTACTCTGGTTGCCTTAAATTCAAGAACAAAATTTATTTTATAAATGATGGTTAAAAAATTACAAAATTCTCAATTTATAAATAATTATCTTTTTTTTTGCATTTCAACAAAGACTTAAAAATATGCCACTATTTTTAGCGTAGATTCAATTTTATAATTTATATATATTAATGTTTCTTAAAATTTTTTTAATTCACGATTTTTATAATTATAATTTAATGCATATAGAGAATTTATCACGATGCCCCTATTCATGTCGCTTCTGATAGTGGCGGCTAAAGCCTCCACTAATTTTATTTCGTACACTGGTCTACATAAGAGTTATGGAAGGGCAAAACTTTAGGATAACTAAAAATCTTAAAAATAATAATATTTCAAAAAATTTAATATAATATTTAAATTTAATTCCCCAGAAGGGGGGGGGGCATAACATTTTCGAAGAACATAAAAATCCTTTAAAAAATATATAATGTAGTATAAATATTTTTGGGGTGCTCCTGGTTGCAAGTCCCGCTTGATGGTGATGTATATACTTGAGGCATCGGAAAGCTTTGACAACTGACATCGATCCCCAATTTATAAGTCTGAAGATTAACAAATTTTGTGAATAATGGAATAAAAAACAATCCACAAAATTTTTAAAGTCCAAAACATATTATCAATAAATATTTTTATATAAAATAAAGGTTTTATCATATTTTACCATTGAAAATATTTATGGGGAAAAGGAAAATTAATGATTGTGCGCTTTTTTCCTTATCTTCCAAGGGTGTGCAACCTTAACTTTTTGCCTTAGTGTCTCAAGTAGTGTTGTTAAACGACTTGTTTTGAGCCGATTTTTAAAAACGGCTAACTCAATATTTTATCCAGAAAAATATTACCTAAGTCTGAAGATAACAAAGTCTAGCATATATTATCGAAATCTCGAAGCTTCCGTTTTTAAAAATCGGCTCAAAACGAGCTGTTTAACAACACTAGTCTCAACAGTTAGTTTCAGAAAAATGGGTCCTGATGGGGATCAAACCCAGGTATGAATGGATTATTGCACCTCCTTAGTTTAAGTCTCTAAACCCTCAGAACCACATCTGCCACTTATGAAATGAGGATTTTTTTACATTAATGATAAATAATATATATAATATAACCGAAAAACTCTTTATGATTAAATATCTAAAATATTATGAGTAAGAAATCTAATGTAGATATAACATCATCAAACTGTGCGCTAAATATTACTTATCTACAATTGTAATAAATATTCCCTATCGATTACTAATGAGAAATCAACATCACATTTATTAATAATCTTCAAAATCTTTTTAAAAAAACTTGTTCTGCCCAGCATGATCCTATAAGAATTCTTTTTTATTTGTCCCGAAAAGCCCTAGAAATAAATATAGAAATTATTGAAGTCAGCCTGAACCGGCTCTTGGGGAATTTTGATTTAATTTTAGGTCCGACTACCGAAAATTATTTCTTACAAGTTGTGGGTTTAATATTTTACGAAAAAAGGGTGTAAATATTTTACTTTAAAAAAAATTGCAATTCACCCCGTAAAAATATTTTCAAGTTGTTCGGCCCAACCCAAAAATATTTTTACCCATTCCAACCCGACCTTCATATTTAAAGAATTCTAATTTAGTGTTCTTCTTAATGAAAGGATTGAATATTGATGAATCAAATTCTAAGTATTTAATAGAAAGGATTGAGAAGTTGTCTTTTTATTGTATAGATTTATATTTTAAACTCCTTCATAAGATTTATTATATATATAAATTTATATTTTTAATGTTAATACATAGAATATTAATTAAACTGATTGTACGTTGTCACGATGATTGCAATGGCAACCAATATTTTATATGAATACTCCATTGTTTTATTGTTAAATACGCTAACAATATAAATATAGCTATCAATTTGATATTTTAAAATGGATTCTATATAATTAAAATGATTTACCCTTAAATTAGCTAAAAGGAAATTTTTTTTACTATTCTTTGTTGAAAATATTTGATGCCTTCAGCGTTTTTTTTATAGTATTTAACCTTAGTTGCTGTAAAAAACGTTGAAATTTTTTTGCTCGTTCTTTCTCGATAAATTTATTAAAGGATTTGAACTCATACATTTTGGGATAGAATGTCGACGAGGGTATTCTATTTCCACCTTGATTAAGGGGGAAATTTCGGGATGGTTGATTTAAAGATGTCTTGCCGAAAATATGGCTGAATGGTTGTGTAGGTAATTCTTTATCATCATTATTATCAGTATCCGTTAAAGATTCTTGTGAGCAATCTTCATACTCCTCCCCTACATCCTCATTGCCCTCATATGGGGGATCATTCAAATCCTCGTTTCCATCTCTATCCGAATTGTCATCTTTATCCAAATTGTCATCTTTATCCGAATTTTCATCTTTATTAGGTTCATTGTTATAATTGTCTTCCCCGTCTTCATCATCAGCATCTTTACTTTTACGATGGGACTTCAATACATATATTTTTTTTTTCCTTTTCTTCTTTTTTTTCTTACTTTTCTTCTTTTTCTGCTTCCATAAGACATACCTAAATATTGTTTAATTTATATTATAAATATCATATATTTTTTTTAAAGTTGATCGGAGAAAAAAAATAGAATATTTTTTTGATCATGCTACGCAATATATATAATACTATTGCTGAATCTTGTAAAAAAATACGTTTACCATTCAAAGTCATTATCGGTCGAGGCGTCCATAGCATAATGGTAGACGTATTCTATGTCGGTACCACTATTATCCTTTTCTGATCTAAAAGTTACCTTGGATGTCCTACCATCATCTCTACTTTTCGACTTTTTCAAGGCGGACTTGAATGTTACTTGATCCTTGACTTTATGGATAAACTTGTTAATTTCATTCTCTAACGAATCAGAAGCTTCGGGTAAATTTATCACTTCTGCCTCGTAACTGAAATTTTCATCGTCCGCATCAGCATCATCGGATCTACAAATGTCATCATCATCATCTATTTCGACATCTTCTAAGGAGTCAAGATCTTCACCTTTTATTTGATCATTGTTGTTCAAAGGTTTTCCATCAAGTGTTTTTGATACTTTGTAATCATTCGAATCACTTGGATACTGGAAGGAATCTTGGTATTCTTCCAATAAATTTTTATTGTCTTTTGACGAGGAACTTGGTGTTGATGGCTTATTTGTAGCAGCGATTATTTTGGACGGGCAAAATAATGGCTTTGAAATTTTGATTTTTGATATCACGTTATTAATATTACTATTAATACTATTATTATTACTTTCAATATTATTATTTGTGTCCTTCTCAGAGTTTTCTTTTAAAGTGAAAAAATATAAATAATTTAAAAATTAATTATTTATATCGCATTACCGTGTGTACATAATATAATCATAATGGCAATGAAAGATAATGAGAGGATACCAAGAAAAAATCCCAATAAATAATAATACCAAACATTTGTATTTACATGACGTTCGTTGATATTTTCATCGATATAATTTATTCTTGACAGGTCTATAAAATTATAATGACATCAATTAAGAACGATTTTAAGAAAGTATTAAATTATACTGTATAATAGGTGAGTTAAATTGGCATAATGTCGAGATATATTTAGCATATAAATAAAAACACATTTTGCGTCAAATTTGATATTGTGTCAAAATTTAAATCGAATGTCTTATTTATATAATCTTAAAAATTCAAAATAGAGATTCTTTAATTAATATCATATATATTTTTATTATTAAATTGGAATAAATTCTTCTTTTTTTTGCTAGGGTTATAATATTTCGTATACTTATTATTCATTGCAAATATGGAAAGGACTAAAATGATAAAACTTTTAGATTTTATGAATAAAATCATACTATTAATTTATTTTTGACGTATTCATTATAAACTTCATAAGATCAATAGAACCTTACATATGTGCCGTTAAGGCCTATTTCTATAATAGTTTCAACTTGTCTGTCTTGATTCCGTTCAAATTTTCTTAAAAGGTATGGTCTCAGTTTTTTCCTCTCTAAAGTATGTATAGCCAGCTCGGCAAAGGTATAGTAGGGTGGCGGTAAAAATTTATTAAAGTTTAAGGAAAAAAATTCTTTAATAATTCTTGGAGAAAAAAAAAATTACTGTATTTTTAAACTATATCGAATTCAGGTATTTAAGTGGTAAAATTTATCAGAGGGTGGATAGAATAAGTTGAATAATTACTCTATTTATGTTAACCAAAGAAAGAAAGAAACCATTTAATCATTTGGTGCTATTCCACCTTATTTCACAATCTAATTTTGGTTTTAAAAAAATGCTGGAGAAGATGTAGTGAACTAAATATATTTGTTAATAAATTTAATTTCCAAAGATATTTAAAAAATTCTTTAATAATTCTCGGAGAAAAAAAAAATTACTGTATTTTTAAAAACTATATCGAATTTAGTGTTTGTAAAGAATATATTATTCAGGTATTTAAGTGGTAAAATTTATCAGAGGGTGGATAGAATAAGTTGAATAATTACTCTATTTATGTTAACGGAAGAAAGAAAGAAACCATTTAATCGTTTGGTGCTATTCCACATTATTTCACAATCTAATTTTGGTTTTAAAAAAATGCGGAGAAGATGTAGTGAACTAAATATATTTTTTAATAAATTTAATTTCCAAAGATATTTAAAAAATTCTAGATCCTTCTATTTTGAAATTAAGGAACATTAGAATGATTCGTAATTCTCACAAAAAATTAAATTTATTACATGGGCAAAGCATCGGATGTGCCCTATTTTTATTAATGGATATTTTTAAAAAAATGTATCAATAAAGGTTTTATTAGTTCTAGTATCCAAAGTTATAGTAAAATTTATTCTCTAAATTAAAATTCTTTTAACGAAGGCTTTAAATATATCAACTGAATGTGTTATTGAAGCAAAAATTATGTTAATTACTTTAAAATTATCATCAATAAAATGGGCTGTTAGCCCTAAGGAACCTGTATTAAGTTAGTCCAAATGTCCAATTAATCTGATTTTTATTTTTGGATATTATTTATCTTATCAACTGTTCTTTTTCTGCAAATGTATTATACATATGCAATTTAAGTGTATTAGGACATATTGATTTTACAGAACGATCAAGATCACTTATAAAATCTTTTGTATTAACAGTTTTAAAACGTATATTATTATCTATAAATAAATTATGTGAGTGATTTTAAAATTAATTTTCTTAGATAGAGAAACTGGTGATGTAGACTTTAAGAAAATGTCAATTTTATTATATTTTTTACTGAGGTGTGAATGGATTTATAATGATTAATAAGGAGAGATGTTGTTTCGCCTTTACATTTTATAATGCTCTTGCCGCATCTCATATAATTGCTCATTTTTGTGAGGAATTTTGTCAACTTCAACAACAAGCAGAAATATTTCATCAGAAGGAGTATCCTCTATTATAATTAGGCTAGCTAACTTGTCAGATTGGAAGGTTATCAAATAAAAATGACAAATATTAGATTTATTAAAAACAATTTATTAACTATTCTAAATAATTCGTTTTATTTGCATCGAATAAAAGATTATTCATATAAAACAAATAATTTATTATTCGTTTTCGTAAATATTCAATTCAAATTATTCTAATAGAATATTCGATTTTTTTGAATAGGCCTACTATCATGTCAATATACGTGTAAGGAAATACATAATAAATTTATTTCTAACAAGAATATTTCAGTTATTGTGTTAAATATATTAAAATTATAATAATTGGATATATAAGATTTTATTAACAAAAAAAAGTATTTATATATAATTTTAAATAGTATTACAGATATTGATAAAAATATCATATTAGAATGTTAATATTGCTGTTATATTTGAGTCTTATAAGGTTAAATATTAATATAAAATTTATAATTTTATAAATATTTTCTATGTATTATTAAATGTTTCGATATTCGTAAGGTTGAGTAGTTGAGGATTAGCTTCTTTAATATCATTATCACTTTTAATCACTTTAGCTATCTCATCATTCGTTGTATTGATATTTTTATTGCCTATCTCATCATATGTACCTATATTAATATTGTCAATGATATTCGTGTTTGTTGATTCGGGAGTCTTTACATTATTTCTGATCAATTCGTCGATCAAATTTTGAGTAACTTCTTTGTCATTCTTATACATTAAAAATAAATATACATATAATCAAGATCCTGAAACATAATATATAACGCTTTGGCAAGATTCGGTTGTCATGTCATAATTTATTTGTATTTTTTTATAATCAAATAATTGATTAAACGATAGCGAAATTTTAAAATTAATATTATTATAAAATCCTTAATAACGTAATATTTTTATAGAAATAGAAATTTTTTGGGGGTAAAAAATCTATTGCAAATTATATAATGCAGATTTGTCGAGATCCTAAAATATGCTTAATATTTTAGTATCTTCTATAATATTTATCCGACTGGTTTAATATATCAACGTTTAATACAGTATATTTATAAACTTGTAATTTTAATCTTCAAAATGATTACTTCTAAATATTTTAGCAGATCCAGGTCTAAAGCGCTTGTCAATATAGGATGAGGGTCAAACTAATCCTTCTACTTTGGTTTCATTTATGTTCGCACTTAATATGAGACTACAATCAAAGGTAGGATAACAATGCTAAAGGGGCAGTAAGCCAACAACCGGGTGAGGGATGAAAGGACTCCCCTCCCCCTAACAAAGATTCTCTTATATCATTTCAAAAATTTAGAACTGTTGACTCCCATCCCCCTAACAAAGATTCTCTTATATCATTCCAAAAATTTATAAATTTAGAACAATATGTGATTTTAACAAAGCTAAGTTATATAATCAGCAACAAGTTTGCAACAATAGATTTACCCATTAACGTTTCCATTTATATATAAATATCATGCTTATCAGGGAAACGAGATTAAGATTAAAAAACATTTTTTTTTATAAAGGTACAAAATTGATAAGCTAATAAAATCTCTAATTTGATTGATTAAAAAAAAATTGAAAAAATGAGTAGTTTTAGATAGAAATTTAATTTGGTGAAAGGGTTGACTTGACTTAAAGGGTTCGAGACAAAGATATGGTCAAATATGGTCACCTTCGCAAGGTTCATTAATTATATAGTAAATAATATTGTATATATTCTTTTTTTAAAACTTCGTTGATAAAGCCGTAATTGACTAGTTCAGTGGCTAGAACTTGAGCACTGTCATTTTTAGTTATTTCGCATTGTAAATTACGACTAAGTTTGTTTTCCATTTTCAAAACGAGGGTAAGCTATAAATAATTAATTTTTTAAAAGTCTTTTTTCAATAAAAAGATCTGAAGAGATCGTAACTTTAAGCCAGGACACAATTAAAAAAAAATTTTCTTTGCTTCTATTTTTTTTTCTACCGTTGAGCCTGGAATTTCTTAAAATTTCATTATTTATATTTTTGAAACATTTTAGTATAAAAATTGAAAATATGAGCGGTAAATGAATGTCAAACGATGATTTTCCAGCTGACATATTAATTGATATAATTTGAATTCATTCTTCGACTCGATCCGGTTTTTGTAAATTTATGCTCCACCCCCCCCCCCCCTTGGGATTGTATATCCTCATGAATTTTTAATAGGGTCATAGTTTAAAAAATCTGAATTTTAAGGCATTTTCAGAGCCATTCCGAGTTCAAGGAGTGCGGGCCTATTTTTAATTTTGTAAAATGTAGGGGAAGGAGTGCAGGGGCCCCTACAAAGGGGGGGGGGTCCGAAGCAACTTCTTCAGTAAATTTTGGGGACTTTTTTTTACATCCATCATTATCATGTGATTTCTGGTTTATAAATGTAACAATAACACCCCCCCCCCCCCACTTGATATTTAATTTAATATATTGACTGAAATTTTGGTCGATGTTTAGTAAATTTTTTATCCGAAATTTCTTGTTATAAATTATTTTTCCAATTTTAAAATATGCCTAAAAATATTAACCAATATTGACAATAGCAAAATTCCTAGAAATTGGATTACTTATAGTATTAAAATGTATAAAGTTTTTTGCTTAACATGTCTCTTATTTGGTGGTCCACACGCAAATTTAAAATGGACATGTGAAGGTCTAGATAAATGACAAAATATTAATCGTGATATTATTCTGCATGAATCTTCACAGGCACATATGAAGGCCTATTATGGAAGGCTTTCTCATAATAAAAATTCGATATTAAAATTTATAACACCTCAGAATGAATGTGTAGATAATAACCGTTCTATTATAAGAATTATAATAAGATGTTTAGATTATTTAATATCTCGAAACCAAGCCTACTGGGGGAACAGGCAACAAGAAGGCAATATGATGGCCCTTATTAAGCTTATTGCGATTCTGAACCTTTACTAAAAATGTATATACAGCAAAATGAAGAAAGAAAAAAGGATAAAAAAAAATAAGGGATTAAAAACGAAATTATATTCAAACCTATTATCATATAATAACATAAACATTCTCATTGAAACCATGAAAAATATGGTTATAAAAAAATTCAAAATGAGATTACATTTAACAGGTGCTTTTCAATCATAGTTGATGGCACATACGATGTTTCGAAATCAGAAGCAATAGCTTTGATAGTAAGATATGTTGAAAATAGTGAGACGCCGAAGCCTGTTGAAAGACTGATTGACATATATTGTACGGGAAATACCACAGGTCTCGATATAAAGCATAATATAATATCCAAACTTGGCTCGATGAATTTACCCCTTGAATATCTAGTTGGGCAAAGTTATGATGGCGCCTCAAACATGAGTGGAAGAATCAATGGTGTGCAAGCCTTGATTAGAGAAGAGGCGCCAAAGGCAGCTTTTATTTGGTGTTATTGTCATCGATATTTAATCGTTGTTCAATTATGTCAATCAATTAAAGAACTTCGAAATGTTCTAGGAATACTAGATGAGATTTATGTCTATTTTAATGGTGCAAAAAGATATAAGGTACTCAAAAAATTTCAGTGTAATGATCTGAAAAAATCGCAACGATTTTTACGCGTCAAGAATACAACTCGGTAATAGTTTCTTATTTATTTAAATTTTAAATGTTTTTTTAATTAGAAGCTGGCTATCGTCATATAAAGCTATTGTAAATTTTTTTCAACTTTATGATGCCTTGAGGGCAGCTTTAACAAATTTAAAGGATTCTGAAGATCCTGCCACTTCCACTATGGCTAGTGCTATATTCTTTAGAATATAAAAATTTGATTTTATCTTATCACTTTGTGTTTTGGATAAAATATTGTTGATAACAAGTTTGGCTTGTACAAAATTGCAAACCATTTCGAAGGATATAGGGTATGCAATAAATCAAATTCAATACACAAAAGATTGCTTGATTAATTTGAGAAGTATAATATAAATTATTGTCTTAATTATTTTTTAATCTAATAGATAATAACACTGAATTTTTGGATGTTTTTTCAAAGGCGCAAGATTTTATGAAGGAGAGAAATCTACATTTTGATTTTGAAAGTTCTAGACTTCAAACATTACAATCCAAAAAGGAGAGGTATATATACTTTCATCATTAAATATAGGAATTTTTTTTAGCTTTAAAATAAGTGTGTTTTATGCTGCACTCGATTTAATTATTATGCAGTTTAACGAAAGATTTAATGATGATTCCATGAAATATTTACATCAAACATCATTTTTTACGCCAAAGGGAATGACAGAAAAATCAATTATTAAAGAAGATATCGAGGATATCTGTGAATTTTACAATTTAAATTCAAGTCAAATTTTCAAAGAAATGTTGAAGTTTAGAAATATTTATAAGATGGCCAAAATGGGGAATGTAATTAATACTCATGACCTAGAGGTTCAAGAATCTAAAGATTTGTCAGATTCTGAGAATTGTAAATTTATTTAATTAAAATATTTTTACCAATACATTATTTAGCTTCTTCTGATGATGATAATTCAGGAACTTACGATTCAGTTTGGAAAAACTATTCATTTATTTTACCTTATCGTTTACTTTTAAATTTTTCTGCTTTCCCTAATTTAAGAATTTTATATAAATATCTATTAACCATTCCCACAACCTCATGTACTGCTGAAAGAGTCATGAGTAAAATTAAATTAATTAAAACAAGACTGCGCAGTACCCATGAAAGATTCTTTTCTCAATAATTTAACCATATTATCAATGGAAATTTTTTTATTTAAACAATTAAATACTGATGAAATTATAAATTCTTTCGCTTTCTCTTCCCCTAATTTATCTAAATTATTAATTTAAAAATAATATTTATAAAGTTAAATTTTTTGCATTTTATTTATATTATATATTAAAAATTGATGCAATAAAAAATATTTTTGAAATTTATGGGTGTCATAATTATCATTTTTTCGAAGGGGGGGGATACTTTTAATGGGGGTATTCTGCTTCATTCGCTCAAAAAGTGTAGGGGCCACTGAAGGAGTGTATAATGATTTTAGTCTTGCTAAACTTCCAATTAAACCTGGAACAAACAAACAAAAAATCTAAAACGATTAAACATTTTGTCAACTTCAATTTTTTGTTTTTAGCATTTCGGGATTCTTTTTAATTGAATTGTATAAAAAAAAAATTAAAGAATTCTAACTTTTTTTTGGTAAAAATGCACTAAACCTTTGTTTATTCTTTACTTTCTTTCAAAGTGGACATTTGTCGTAATTTTTTCCAGTCCTACCTACCCTACCACCATTATAAGAGGCCGAGTACAAATACCGAACCAAAAACCGTTTTTTCAAAATCGGTCCGGTCCGTTAACTTTAACTAGAAATAACTTTGACAATTTAATCATGTTCAATCTTGTTTATTAACAAAAATGAATAATATGTATTTCCCATTTTAAAAACTCAAACTTTTAAAATATCATTATATATTTGTGATAAAAATTCTGGCTATGAAAAATACAAATTTTATTAGAATAGTATAAGAAAAATTTTTGGGATCCTGGGCAGGGCTCATATTTTATTGAAGATCTACCTGGCACTAGCAGATTTATCTAAGTTCATAAAAGGCTAATTTAAACATCTTACGATAAAAAGAATTCATAATTAGGAAAATTGCTAATTTTATACCATCACCCTCAGGTTTTTTTAAAAAAAAATGATATATTTTTGTTAACATTTTAGCAAAGGGAACCGAATTAACGAAAAAAATAGATTACATGATTTCATGTATAAGAAAAAAATAAATTATAATGTAATAAATTTACATTATATTTTCTTGTGTCTATAACCCCTTCATCTGTATCACATTCGAGTTGAGCCTTATCTTCAATAACTTCGACATTGCTCGTCAAATTATTTCCGTTAGAGGAACTCTGATGATTGGCTTCAATCAGACTTCCGGTCATCACTAAAATACGGCTCGTTTCTTTTTCTTCCTCCTCATCTTGATCACCGTGATCGCTTCCCGAACCATCGGTCACATTATTATCTTCGATTCCCTCGACATCTTGTTTCCCCAGCGATTCATTCCCTTTGATCCCTTCATTCGTGCCATTTTGATCGTACGTATTTTCTTTATTAGATTCCGTCTCCGTATATTGGTTAATTGTATTATTATTATTGTTAAAAGAATTTGGATTATTATATCTATCGTCTTTACCGCTATTTATCCCAACTTCGTTGGAGTTTTCTTCTTTAACAACCATTTTGGTGGAGTTATCAGTCGTGGCCCTATTTCTATCGACTACATTATCTTGTTTTTCTTTGGATCCATTCTTAACGATTTTAGCTAAGTTATTAGTAACGTTTACTCCATTGCGCGAACCATTATTTTTTAGATGATTACCATTTCTATAACACGAATTTCCATTTACGTTACTATCATTTTTGGAGTTTAGTTTTAAAACATCTTTTCCAGTGTTTTGTAATTTATCACTGCCTTCTTCTAGATTATTGCCTCCGCAGGTTAAATCGTTTAAAATGTTCGAATGAGATAGGGTTCCCTCTAACTTCGCGGCAGTAGGAGCTTTGTTATGAACAGGCTTGGAAGAATTAGATTTGGGGGGATTATTAGAGTTGGTCGGGGGCAAGGAAGCGGGCATGGAATGATGAGCGGGTGGTTGGGACAAATGGAAGGATGTGAGAGGGTAAAACCCATTTTTAACGTCTTCTAGCAGTTTCTCTATCTCGAGCGAGGAAGAAGGTAATTTTGAAACGGTATATTCTAACGATTTAGGGATTTGTTGCTTATTTAATAAAAATAAATATATTATAATTCATTTTAAAAAATCAAACGCTCGCTTTTCTTTAAAAAAAATACCTGCTGTTCTTTTGTGGCAGCAGTAATTTGGTTCAAAATATCGGGGTTAGGAGCGGATTTGGAAGGTTTGGAGTCTATGACATGACGAGATTTATTGGAAGGCTTGATTTCGGCGATGATATGATCGGCAGGAAATTTTTTGTTGATCAAATTTTCCGAAACGTTGTCTGAAAAGAATTCTTTTAGATATAGATGTAATTTTAAAAAGAAAACATTTAATTTCATATCGAATTATAAGTTTTTATTTGAAAATCAATGTTTGTAATCGGAAATATTTATAAACAACAGAAACCTTCTTCTATCGGAATCCATTTTAAAATTCTGGCAAATGTAGAGGTATTTAGGCATTATATAGTAAACGGGCTAAGTTGAAGTGGTGCGTTATTTAATATCAAACCAATATATAAATGTAGAGCGTTATGATGATAACGCGATAAAATTTGAAAAAAATATGTTGCGATGTATATTTCAATAAATTATTAATGCTAGGAAGAATCAGCTGTGATTTCGATAGCGTTAAATAATTCAACGCTTGAACATAACGCGTTTACTATAAATGAGGTACTTTATCCTATGAATTTTAGACAATTTTCGCAATTTTTTTTTAAAAGGCTACATTCTTATATCAATTTTTGTTCTCATATGAATAAAACACTCTATTTAGAGAAGCATCTAGGACACCCTTTTAGTTAGTTTTATTTAACTATATATAAATTTTGAGATATACTTATAGGCAGAGATGTCCTGACAGTCAAGTGTTGTTAAACGGCTCAATTTTTGAAAACGTCTAACCTAGGATTTTCAAAAAATATTATGCAACCTAGAGATTTTGCTTTTGGACATCTATTAGAAAAAATCTCGAAGGTTATATAATATAATTTTGGCTAGAATCTTAATTTAAAATCGGTTAAATTGAGCCGTTTAACAACATTACCCAAATCAATACCGTCAATACCCAAAACAATAATTTAGTATATTTAAATTTTATTGGAAAAAACCTAAATCTTTATCGGTGTTTGGAAAATTTTGTATGATTTTTTTTTAAAATAGAAATTCCGATATAATGTTGTTTAAATATATATTTTTTTACATTTTATAAAGGTTAATTATCGTTTGTATTAACTAGGTAATGTGTTAAAGGCTCGATTTTTGAAAACGGATAATCCAATATTTTAGCAAAAAAAATTATTGTAAGACTGGAAATCTTGCTCATAGATGGCAGAAAGGTTATTAACAAAATTTTTCGCGTAATATTATTTTGGCTAAAAAAAATTTAAAATAGTCTAAATCGAGCCGTCTAACAATTCTAGCTACTGGTATTGTTTAAAATGTAAGGTATCAGCTGATGCCGATATTTCCCATGTTTAAAATGTAAGGTATCAGCTGATGCCGATATTTCCCAAGATCCTTATTTATTTAGTTTAAAAATCACAATATCAAATTTTTACATATTACATTATTATATTTTAAGATGTGGTAAAGCGACAGTTTGATGGGTGTTGTTTTGTATCTTTTGTCAATTATTTATCACATTTTAAATCAATAATGGAGCGATATGAGTAAGGGTTAAGATATATTAAAAATGGTTTTTAATAATATTTCATCAGTTTTATTTATAACCAGCATAGAAAAAAAATAAACAGCATTTTCCTTATCACATTTATTAATTTAGAAATTTGTAGATGAGTTAACATTAAGGAGTATTTGAAAGTATTTACTAATATCATGAATTTTGATGGATCTATTTTTTTTGATATGAAACCCTTGAAAAGTTTATGTTCTATTAAAATTGCAAGCTAGGTGGGCTATATATTTTTTAAATCATCAAGTTGGACACCAAGAATCACACTATGGGACAAGAGACTTATTGCAATCTTATAAGGTATATACTCCATTTTTAAAAAACACATATAATAATAGGTTATAAAAACTTGAATTGTTGACTATGCAATGAGCAGATATGAGTCTTAGTGGGTGAACCTCAAACAATATAGGATGGAATAATAATTCTCGAGCAGTAGGTCTATCTTTGGGATTGGGGTTGATGCATTTTTTTATAAAATTCTTTTTGAGTGTAAATAATAATAATGGTGTAAATATTTATTGTAAAATTTATTAATCAAACTCGTTGGGATATATTTTTGATGGACTCCAAGGCATTATTAATTGTGTCTTCTGGATTTGAATTTAAATTTTCTGATGTTCCAGACACTTCAAATATACCTGTCATCTGAAATAAGTAAAAAAAATCTTAATATAAAAATAGATATTAGGTTTAGTTGGGATAATAAATTATTCAAAATAAAACTGTTGTAATTTAGACTCATTGTTTCAACTTATGAAAAAATACATATAATTGCACTTACTTCAAGTGCACAAATTCCAAAAGCATATATATCAACTGCTGTTGACAATGGTTCTGAGGCTGTAAAAATATAAAACATAGGATAGATTCAAAACAACAAAGGAATAAAAAGTAGGCAAAATTAAATGATTTATTTAAATTAAATATATCATAACAAAATTAAATATGTCTTGTTACAAGAGTATTCTGGTGCTAAAAAATAATGATCCTTTTGATGTTCCCTGCATGTCTTTATGTTTTGATGAATAGCATCTGGTGCGACTATAGTTTGTGTAAATTAATTTATATATTATTATTTTATAATTATAAATGCATAAGTATTATAAATGCATAAGTATTATAAATAAATATATCTTAATCAAATTTATTTTAACACCTGATCCTATTTTTATTAAGCCATTATGTTGAATAAATATAGTTCCCAGGCGTAAATTACCATGAATTATAGGTGGATTACAAGAATGCAAATATCTAAAATTATGAGGGTAATTTTAAAAAAAATTTAAAAATATACTGAAGGCCAGATAGAATTTGTATACACCATCTCTTCCATGCCTAAAACAAGTATATAAAATAATACAAATAACATTCTATACCTTTAATTGAATTGTGGCACCATTTTTTGTAGTAGTTAATAAAAAACTTTTAAAAGAGCCAGCCATATACTCGGTTATAAACACAATCTTAAAATAAATTATGAAACAAGTACAAATTAAATTTACCCTTGGACTCTCTTGCTTAAAATCCAGCCAATAAGCATGAAACTTAACAATAGTTGGATGATGTAAGGATGTTAAATTATGAAATACGGTTTTTATTTTTTCCTTATATTAAACAGAATAAGTGAGAATAAAAATATAGACATACTTCTTGATCTTTAAAATTTCTTCTTTCAGAAAACTGTACCTCATTCCAAACTACCTCCATACCTTCTTCCATATCCATAGCCAAATATGCGGCATCAATCCCAGGTACATCACGTTGTTGAACCTAATGAATATTATAATAATATATGATATAATTTAACTTTTTCTTTCCTTTTAAGCCATCGACCACATGGGCTCTCCTCTAATATTTCTGTTTCATCATCTGAATCGTCAGCACTATATTTATACATTTTCTTCTCCTTCGATTCTTTACATTTAGAATTATTTTCCATATCTACTAATGTTATATTTATAATAAATTCGTCTAAAATAGCATTTGAAAAGTAAAAATGTTTAATGACCGCACACACGAGTGTTAAGGGTTGCCAATTTTTTTAAAAAAAGGTTGATGCTTTACCCCGACCTGTTTACAAATAACAAAGATAAAGCCAGTGCTGTTGAATGAAACTTATATTTCATTCAAATCTGTTAAGAAGAGTCATAGAAGACAATATCTAAGCTATCACAGAAAATCGACCATGACTCACCGACCCAATAGGCCGTATAGACTTATCTAAGGAAAGGGGGGTTGTCATTAAATTTTGGGGGCTTCATCTCAATACCCTCACCGTTGCCTTAAGCCGGATATCGACCTGTGCAAATTGATGATTGGTATTTTTTATTTCCCTATGATTATTTGTAAAATATATATCTTTATATCATTCCCAAGTCCAAGGCAATTTTTTAGGCTTAATTATTATGATTGTTTACATTAGTACAGTTACCAGTATAAAGGCAAATATTTACTAATAGTAGATTATTGTCAGCCTTATAATTATAAAGCAACTCAAGGCATTTATTCTGAAATTGTCTGCTTTTAGTGCCTAATATAATTATTACATTAATGCGTTTGGTAGACACTAAACAGTATATATTCTTGTTAGATTCGAACGGTTTTAAGTAATATTGCCCAGTAGTTTTTGTCATATTATCTTAAAATTGTAAAAATTAGTTGGTAATTATTAATATTTGTTTCAATTTTGAGAGTAACGGATATTTTGCAAACTACTTTGTATTTTATTAACTTTTTTCTAAAAAAGGGTATTTATATTTTATGGAAATTATTTTCAAGGGTTTTATTGATAGTTTTTTATTTTGTAAAATATTTTAGGAATGCGTATTATCATTCATTCACGGACCATTTTTGTGCCAGTCTCATGACTAATATTTATATTTGTTAGAAGGTTGGTGACTATATAATTAGAATTTCTTCGATTTTTCACGCACTTTTTAAATATAAGAAATTTCTGAGATTATTTTATTGGAATAGTTAAAGTAGGGATTTTATAATTTAAAAATTTAAAAATTATAATAGGCAAGTAAACTAAAGTTTTTTTTCAATTAAAATTTTGTCGAATTATAAAAGAAGAATAGTATCATGAGTGTTTTTATTTTCTCTCAAAATTAATTTGATAATCCATCTTTTTTTGAATGATGAGTGATTGATTTCGTAATTATTGCATAGATGAATGGTAGATCTCTTATCACTATTTTTGGTATAATAAGATATTATATTCTTATTATTTTTTTTGCTATTTTTTTTAAGGTTTATATTAATTTCGAAGAAAAATAAGGAATTTTTAAACATTTTTTTTGGTATTATTATTTTAATTATTTTAGGCAGTGACCCAAAGATATTTTATAAAACATGACTAAAATCTTCCACTAAATTTTTTTTTAAAGTTTTGTAAATTTTGAAATTAATAATTAATACCAAATTATATTTATACTTCCCATTTAATTTCAATTCCTCCCATTTTGATTAATATAACTACCAAATTCTTCTTATAATTTGAAAAATATAAATTAATATTACTTACTTTTTTTGTAAAAATATGCAAGTTTATAAATCTTAATCAAATATTGATTTTTTATAAAAATGGAAAAGAACTCAAAATTTTATTTATTTTAAATCTTTAACGCCAATTTTATTATTTATACTTTAAATAAAGGAATTTTTTTAAATATGGCATCTGAATTGTGGAAATATTTTACAAAAGACAAAGATAATTTTGCAAAATGCGTTATCTGCGGAATTCTAATTTCACGGGGAGGAATAATAAAAAATTAGTTTAATACTATCAATATTCGTAAACATTAAAGGCGATTCCATCAAACGGCATTCGAAGCGATAATACAAAAAGAACGATAAATATTAGAAAAAACAAATCAGTTTTAAAAAAGAAGAACCCTGAAAGTCAGCTAACTATATCAGCCATTCTTAATAAAACTACTATTTGGAAAAATTCTGATTACAAATCGATAATTATTTCTACATTTATAGGGAAAATGATAGCCTGTGACCACCAGCAGATTTCTATCTTGACGGCTTTAAAAGGCTTTTACATTATTTATGTCCAAATTATTAAATTCCCAATAGAAAGTATTTTTTGCAAGGAGTTATTCCTGATATATATGAAAAACTTTCCGAAAAAATTCGTAAAGAAATTTTGGTTGAAGATTCTTATTTTTCCTTTATCATAGATATATGGACTAGAAATTCAGGTGACGATTCTCATATCTCATTAACTTGTCATTATATAAACCAAAACTTTAAACGAACTAATAGAGTTTCAAATGTTAAAAAATTTAATGAGTCTCATACAGCAATATACATTGCTCCTCATATTTTAGATAAAATGATTAATTATTGGGGGATAAAAAAATTAAATACACCTAAAATGTAACCAATATAGCTTTGGCTATGAAAAACGGGAAACATTCTTCTATTTCACAAAATAGTCTAAAAGAAATCGAAATTCAATTGAATCTAACTAGGCACAAATTAATCCAAGACATGCCGACTCATTGGGATTCTATCTGTTATATGATCGAACGATTAATAAAACAAAAAAGGGCGACACAGCTGTTCATTATCGATAATCCTAATTTGGGAAATCTCTCATTATAAAAGTGGGAATTGACAAAAAATGTAATTGATGTTCTGGAACCGATTCGGATAACATAAGAAATAAGTGTGGAATTTAGCAATGTTATACCCTTTGTTAAAATTCCGTAGTGAATTAAGGATTAATAAGGGCACAGATGGATGTGTGCAGGCCATGAAGGATACATAATCAATTAACAGAGTTGTTAAACGCTATTTTTAAAAGTAGCGCGCTACCGCTTTCGCTATTTGTGAAAAAAAGTAGCGCGAAAAGTAGCTTTAGCTACTTTTAAGCTACTTTTTATAAAAAAAAATTTAGAAACAAATGAAACAAATTTTTTTTATTTATTTTTTGCTTATAATGTAAATGTATAATAAATAATATATAAAAATCAACATTTATAAATATAAAAATATAGTTAGTTTAGATTATAAAAAAATAAGCAATATAAATAAATATTTATTTTAATTTGTTGCATTTTAATAATAATATCATTTCAATATTATCATCCCCAAGTCTAGAACGACGATCAGAAAGTATAAGCTTTGCTTTACTAAATAATCTCTCGACATTAGCACTTGAGGGCAAGCGGGTATTAAATTTTATATATAAATTTTTAATATATGAAAAATTATCAAAAATATTCATTTCAATATTTTTTGTTTGAAAAAAAAGATCAATTGGATTTTCTATTAAATCATCTTTAATTTCAAAAAAATTATTTGAGGATATCTTCGTGGTAGATACTCGGCAATCTATGTTTGTTGGAGTAAGATTATTCAGCTTAGCCATTAGCCTATCGCGTTGATGTTTTTATCCATATACTCCTAATATAAGCTATATTTAAAACAACACAGAAAATAACCTGCAAATTCTAATAAATCATTTGATTTAATTTTTTTTCTTATTTGCACATTTTTAAGTTCAATTAAATATACTACTCTCCCTTCCCTGTTTAAGCTATTAAAGGGCAAAAATTAATATTATTAATCCCTGGTTATTATGATTAATTCATCAATAAATATTTTATTAATTATTGCAAATATTCATTCTTATATGTGTATGCTATGTTCTTCCCAAATAAATAATGAAAACTGTATTTTATAAACTATTCTAATTTAATTGGTAATGATAATTTAAAAGTATCTTGTATTTAAGTTACTCTAATTTAGTAAAAGATACAAGAATCTTTTATCTTGTATCTTTTTGATTATTTGAAAAAGATACTAGTATCGTGTCTAAGATTCATTTTTTTTAAAAGAATCTGTATCTGTATCTAGATTCTTTTTCTGGAGGACCTGCCCAACTCTGTCAATAACCATATCTTATTAAATGTTAGATACTTTACAATAAAAATTAATGAAATAATCCACCTCTGTTTTATATTTTATTAGTTAATTTCACTAATTTTATTTATAATTTGATATAAATTATGATAATCATAATATTACTAAAATATGTGTGTATTTAGTTAATAAAAATTCTGTAAATAATGTGAAATATTAAACTACTAAATATTTTATAGATTAAATAATAACCATTCCATTCTGATAAAAATCATAACTTAAAATAAATATTATAAATAAATTTGTGATATAACCTAAATGCCTTCAGGTAGTTAGACCCATATCAGTAACCATCTTGCAAACTTTATTATGAATCCTAAAAGACTTGTGGATGTCAATAATTTTATTTGCAAGTACGTCATATGTCTGGCATCCTATAATCCTTTTAAGGGCTAAGGCTACAGATCTTCTTTTTAAAGTCCTAGGGTCTAACCAATGGCCTGTGATTCCCAAATAAGCTCTAAAAATATTTAATCAGATCAATTTATAAATATAAATAGGTTTTTACCTTCTGTTATGTGTCCAACTATCTGCCGTGGTACATACATAAGATATATCTGATAACTCTACTATTAGAGCATCTTTCATCACTTTGAAGTTGTCGGCTATTTTATTCATAAGTGTCTGGCGACATAAAACTGCTGTGCCAGGGGATAAAGTTTTAATCATCAGAGTAAATGATGGATTATCAAAAAAAGACACTGGCTGAACTGTGTCAATAATAAAATCAACAATAACTTTATCAGCCAATTTTTGTGAAATATTGGCATGTTTATTATCAGTTAATTTGGTTTGGATAGTATTTGTCTTTTTGAATGAAGATTCTCCTATACCAAAATTTTTTATATGTTTCTCTATTTCCTTATAGCAATTGGCGTGAACAGTCTAATAAAATAAATAATATTATAATTTAAAAATAACAATTTACCTTTAGGTGTTTCTTCAGGTTATAGCTATTCGATTGATTTGATGATATATTTTTTTTTACATTTTAAGCACATGAATTTGAATCCAGATTTTGTTTTAATATTTATTT